GAGATGATCTCTCCCAGTAACTCCAGTTAAGACTCTGGCAGCAGCATGTTGGATCAACTGAAGATGTTTTAAAGAAGTATTTGGACTCCCAGATAATAAACCATTGCAACAGTTAAATGTTTGGGTGGGGGCTAGCGGTAGAGGAACAACATAGTTGTCCAAAGCCTAGGGGGCCCTCTAATGGCTGCTACTGGTAATGCTTACTCTGGTTCATGTCAGTATGAACGAACATTTAATGTGTCAGCTTTCCTGCTTGCTCTCGCCGAAGGTGGACGCTTTGTCCTCCCACTCCTGCTTCTGCTCTTTGTCCTGTGAACCCTATCGGAGCCTCTCTTTACATTTCTTCTTAATAGATCTGGTCAGCTGGTCTCAACGCAATTGATAAAATTTTCTTGACTAGAAGACAGGGCGAAGGAGAGCCCTCTTGCCCTGACGGGACACTTGCAGCTGGATACACGATGGATTCCTGGGGGCAGTGGAAGATCGTGTGTCTGTCCGTATTGTCCATTGAGGATGTAGAAGACGCGTACATAATTGGATTCATGATAACAGGATTTCTGCTTTTTGGACTTGGTGGTAACCTGGCATATGGACAAATGTGGAAAAACGTCGGCAGCAGTTCTGGCCGTTGTGAGGCTGCCTGCCTTGTGTGATGGAACGTGTCGTGCAGTGAGCACTCAGACTCAGATGCTGTGTGAGCTGAGCCGTAAGCTGGATGTGATTTCTGAGAATCTCAGGCCACTTGCTGCTCCTGAAACTCACTGGCAAGAAGGAATCGACCGTGGAGAAGCTACAACCTCAGCCCGGTGGTGCTGACCACAAAATTTGGCTGTTTTGGAGTCGTCATTGAGACGTACCAGTAGAACTATAAGGTAGACAGAAATCCAGCAGAGTTGGCCTGACCCAAAAACTCTTATCTGAATCTGGCTCCCCATGACGTACCAGTAGAACTATAAGGTAGACAGAAATCCAGCAGAGTTGGCCTGACCCAAAAACTCTTATCTGAATCTGGCTCCCCATGTCGGCCTTGAATTGGCCAACTATCCCAAACTCTCCTGGATGTTAGTGAACAAGAAGCTCTGCTCCCCCACTCCCCTACCTGCTCCTGTGGACATCTGTGGACCTGTGTCTGAGCTGAGCCGGCTGATAGACACTGCACCATCTCTTATCAGGACTATGGGGACTGTCTAAAAGTGCACGGACAAACTCACCACCTCCTCATGCATATACGTATCATGATGTCATCAGTGTGTTGCTGTTTCTGTGCTGAGGTTATTTTTGCAACTTTCATACTGTGTCCCGTCTAGGACACAGTATGAGATATGATTTTTTTATACATCCTCTTCCCTCGTCGTTGGGTAGTCACTGGTCGCAGTCACTGGGTACAGTTACTGGTTGCAGTCGTTGGGTACAGTCACTGGTCGCAGTTGTTGGGTACAGTTACTGGTCGCAGTCGTTGGGTACAGTCACTGGTTGCAGTCGTTGGGTACAGTTACTGGTTGCAGTCACTGGTTGCAGTCATTGGGTACAGTCACTGGTTGCAGTCACTGGTCGCAGTTGTTGGGTACAGTCACTGGTTGCAGTCACTGGTCGCAGTCACTGGTCGCAGTTGTTGGGTACAGTCACTGTTTGCAGTCACTGGTCGCAGTCACTGATTGCAGTCGTTGGGTACAGTCACTGGTTGCAGTCACTGGTCGCAGTCACTGGTTGCAGTCGTTGGGTACAGTCACTGGTTGCAGTCACTGGTCGCAGTCATTGGGTACAGTCACTGGTCGCAGTCATTGGGTACAGTCACTGGTCGCAGTCACTGGTTGCAGTCACTGGTCGCAGTCACTGGTTGCAGTCACTGGTCGCAGTTGCAACCAGGAGTTGTGGGAACATTCCATCCAACAGCCCGTAAGACGAGTAAAACCAGCAACAAAGAGGATTGGGACACCACTTATCCAATTAGATTAACATGATTAAAAACATCTCAGCAACGGTTCTGAAGGTCCAAAGTCTAATTCTCCAAAGTCTGTTAATGTATTGGCTTTAGAGGGTTTACACACGTTTTGTTCACATGAACAATACCTGCAACTTTTTTATTCTTACATTTGCAGGATTTCTGACTGTTTTACAAGTGCTAAAAATGATTATCTAACCTGATCTCAATAAATGTGCATCTCATCATACCTCATGTGACCACTAAAGCAGTACTACACTTTAACCTGGGAACTGAAACATACCAGAAGTTTTTGGGTTGAAACTGATGGCACTCGATGCACACGATGATGGTTTGGTGTCCATCGATGGTTTTTCCATAAATCTGAAGGGGTGGGGACAGAAACAGTCAGTGTATTTTCTTATAATACGCAGGCAGCAGTAGGAAACAGGCAGCAACACTCCACTATTCTGCAGCGAATGGGCTGATATACCGACACTTTACCCAGTGAAAATATTGAATAAATAAACAAAACTAGCACTTCGGGTTTTGTGCAACACACAAAAAAATTACACCAGAATTAAATCTTCAAATCTCATGACGGCTCATGTAAACACTATTCTTTAAATCATTAGCTCACCTTCCTGTTCACATTAGTTGTTTTGGCAAAAATACTTGGACTACTTTGAGTACTTGCACTACAGGAAGTGCTGTTTGTGTTTGCAAATAAATGGAAATAAATATGCAATAAAAAATTTGACAGCCAGTCTCTGTACAAGGGCATTCACTTGAATTACTAAATCGTTTTAGAGATTAGAGAGCCGTTGTAAGACAGAAGCAATCCACTTTGATACTGGCCCTGCTCTGACTAGCCATCAGCTCGTTGCTTCGGGCTTGGCTGGGTTCAGACTAACCATCAGATTGTTGTTAATCTGGTCAAAATTAAACTATTCCTCCAACTGAACTTGTTTGAAGAGCTACCTACTACAGGTAAGATATTAACTGTTCGTATCTTTCCCACAGAAGCCCCCCATCTCTTTAAATGCAGGTCTGAATGGTTTGGTTTTGTTCCAGCATTTGCTTATCGAGTCTTAACGTACGGTGCACACTCCGCTGGGATAGTGCTCCTTGACGTAAGCCCTCACGGCTGAGTCCACAGCATTCCTCCAGCCCTCCATGGAGCTGTCAACATCATGGGGTCGTGGGTCACTGGCCTCCTTTCTCAGGTGGTCAAACTTGAAGGAGATCTTGTTCTTTGGGTCTAGGACCCGGCCACTCCCAAGGTCACCATGCTCTGTGATTAAGACCTGGAGTGGACAGACGAGTCATGACAGAGAGAGGAAGAAATGCAGAACGAGAGAAGAACATCTGAGAATCAGAATGAATTTTCCATCTGCAGCCTGTTAGCTCAGCCAGCTGGGTGTCAGACGGGGGAATTTCAGGCAGCGATGCAGGAACAGAGGGACATGATGACATCTTTACATAAGCTACTGCAATCATTACAGCTGCATTCATTCAGCACGAGGTTGAGCCTTCACACAACCAGCAGTGACAACAATAAAAACAAGCCTCACGTTGTTGGAGGAACTTTAGCTTCTAATGAGCAAAGGTTGTTTGGACTGACTGCCACAGCCTCATGTTTCTATAATGAGCTCAAAGCCAATCATTCTTCAGCTTGTGAACGTTACTGCTTCTTTGAAATAAAAGACGAGCTCACCTGTTCTTCATAGCCCTCGAGTTTCACGGGGGTAAACTGGTCCAGGTTGTACTGTGCAAATGCACTGCAAGGAGAAGCACAGAATCACTACAAGCATTTCAAAGCTGGAGCGCCACATCGCTCCAGGACTCCTGTCTGGACCAGAGGGTCTCAGACCTTCATGCCGCACGTCCTTTGGAGGAAAAGGATTCCAGGCCTGCTCTCCTCAGCTCAGCAACACTAAACGTGAATAAAACGTTCTCTTCGTAAACTGTGGTGTCAATGAAAAATGTGGACTAGTTTTTGGGACAATTTGTCTCTTAATTCCGTTTGAACTGAGCAGAACCTACAATAGAGAGAGATCCAACATGATGCGCCTCCTTGAACTATTGTTTATGCCGTTTCCAGTCTTCCCAGTTCTGATGTCCAGTTAGAACTTCAGGAAGTCCTCTTCACCAAGTCTACGTGCCTAAACGCTTCGTGTTGCTGTCATGTTCGTGGCTGTTAGATGTTCATGTTAACATGAAACTGAACCAGTGAACGTACTAAAATGGCGCTGAGTTGATGTGTTCTGTAAATATTGAGTATTTGAAGGTGTACAGATGTAAAGCATGTACCGTGTATGTAAACGTCTGCTTTCAGATGCATATTTGTATTATCTATATTTGCTCCTGTGAATTTTTATATGCAGTTTTGATATTTGTACATGGTGAGAGCATTTTGAACGGTGATGAACTGGTGTTTGTCATCAGGTTTAATTATGGTCAATTAAAGATGGAGACTCTGCTTTTTGGGTTCGTTGGTCTGGAGAAGACCAGAGACCCAAAATGTCCCTCAAAGTGTGCAGTGGGAGTTCTATTAGTTTTAGAACAATAAGGTTTAAGAAGTGGACTTACTGCGCGGCACCCTCCCTGAGAAGATTGTCATTGTTGAGCAGCAATCGCACATCTGAGGAGACAAATGGTTGGATTATTGGAGAGGAATGACAGATTACCACAGATACAGGATGAACCACTGCTGTCAATCTGAGATACTCAATTCAGTTTATTTATAAAGCTCCAAGTAACAGAAGAATGAAATATAAAAGACAACTAGTAAAGTTCTCCATCTAAGGACGCAGCAGATTGTGTTGGATCTTCACTTCATCAGTCTCTCATCCTGAGCAAGCACAAAGGAGACAGTGGAAAGGAAAAACTCCCTTTAACAGGAAGAAACCTTCAGCAGAACCAGGCCCAGGACGAGTGACCAGCTGCTGGGTTTGAGAGGACAGGAGGTAGAAACAAACACAGAATGGCAGGTCCAGGTGTGTATTCTCCGGGGAACTAAGGTGGACACGGTGACGCAGCTTTAAGAGACCAGAAAACCACAGAAAGATCAAAGTGGTCCGAGGAGCGGGGTTGAGTCTGCGTCTGTGAAGCTGAGAGAAGCTGCAGACAGACATCACCCCCAGCCCCACAGGTGGCAGGATGAGGACACTCGAGCTACTTTAGCCGTCAACAGTGTGTCCAACACGTCCATCTCTCTGGCACAACACATTTACATCGCAACGCTTTGATCAAACCACGAGGAGCCAGCGGAAGGAGAACGTCCCATACAAATGCTAGCTGCTAACAGATGAAGGTTTTCAACGTGGTGCTCGTTCATCTCCATCAGAGAAGGCTTCTTACAGCAGGCAGTCCCTGAGCATCACTCACACAACAACTGTCACATTACAGCTGAAAACTCTTTTATGGACCTTCTTGTGAACATCAAAAATCCTATTTATGGAAACAAACACAAATATAAGTCTGCCATCTAGTGGTGGTGGGTAGAAACGATGTGAGGTGTATTTCAACAACGCAGTTGTCGTTTTAATAGATTATTACTTTAGTTTAATTTAATAGATTTAATTTTATTACTGTTTTTCTTTACAATTTATACTTTTGTTGGATGTAACTGGGACCCTGTGTACACAGTTTCATTCCACCACATGTACCACATGATGCAAATGACAACTAAGAACCTTGATCTTTAAAACCAAACATCAAATATATGTATCCTGTACCAACATCAGAGTATATTGTACTTTATGAATCCCAGGGCTTATATTAAATGGGCTCAAACTGTGGCCTCAGTAGGCCCAGCTGTGGAAATCATCTCTGAAATCTGGTCCTTTTAGTCTAATTTAATCTAAAATATATATTTAATGCTAAACTTCAAGACTTTGAATTCCAGGTTGATGCTCGTTCCGTCCAATAATCTTCCAGTAAATCCCCACGGAAAGATTTTAAAATTTGCAACCCCTAACAAGGACGCTGTGCCAAAACCTAACCTACAAAGCCCTCAACAACCTAGCTCCATCTTATATTACAGATCTTATTGTTCCATATTTTCCTAACAGAGCACTTTGTTCTCAGACTGCAGGTTTACTTGTGGTTCCTAGAGTTTCCAGCAGCAGAATGGGAGGAAGATCTTTCAGTTCTCAGGCTCCTCTCTTGTGGAACCAACTTCCAGTTTCTGTCCATGAGGCTGACACATTGTCCAGTTTAAGACTGGGATTAAGACTTTCCTGTTTGATAAATCCTATAGTTAGGGTCAGCTTGTTATGCTGCTATAGACTTAGACTACTAGAGGACAAACTGACCTCATTTCCTTAAATGAATTGTTAAAATTGAATAGTTTTCATTTGATACCATTTCTATCTTAACATGTGATTCTTGACCTGCCATTGTGTATCTATTCCTACCAAACCCAGCCGGT